TAACAACAAACAAAACACAGATCACACAGCTCTGGGTTGCCAAGTGTCTACCTTGGCACTAATCTGCAACGCAAAACGAAGTGACAGACTCACCGAGGGCTGATCCGATCCGGGAGGCAACCTACTGGGGCGAGGGCACGCGATCAACTGAACTCCATGACTTGATAAGACATCATATCGTTCTTGAGATAAGACAGCCTTAACTCACTCTCACTGGCCCATACATGGCCTAACATGTCCTTTTAGGATTTGGGTTTGCTTGTAGGCCACTTATCCTTCCTCTTCGACAGAGCCCTTTTCCTTCATGGTGACCTTCTATCACTGAATCAATGCGGACTTCTAATATCGGCTCCTTCGTTTTGCAGTGTTCCATCCTTTGGTGCTACACGTGATGTAGATTCAGCTAAGCGGCAAGCAGCACATATTCTGTTCAAAACTGAAATTAATCTGCCATTCTTCGTTCATTGCTGAAGGCCGGAGCCCAGTGATAGCTCGGCAGCGGCCATATTGATTAAGCTGATCTCCTACTACTCGTTCTATGCCGTCAAGTCGTGTAATAACGATGCTTCGTCATCTTGTGGACGATCCATCCAAGCCCGTCCATTCCATCGTCGTTCGTGCCAAGGCGCATAGGAGCGGGTGCTGAAAAAATGTCTGGAGTGGATATTAAGGGAGAGCTGTAGCAGCTATTGCGGGCTCGCATGTCACGTTTTCTGTTTTTGAATGTGCGAAAATTTATTGTGTCTTATAGATTTACACGTTAAAATAATACAATATTTCCACGACACAACACAATGTAATAGATGAACCCGTGGGAGACACGTAAACGTACTCAGAACTCAGATCTTGAATGAGACCGCACGACGTTTTTTCACTATTTTTCAATCCTCGTTTTCTTTTTCGCTTCGGACATTGTCGAAGTTGCCATCTCCAGCTTCAAAAAACTCAGACTTCACAGACCTAGAATTTGCAACATCACTCATTTAGAATTTATTACAATCCGTGTACCCTTCTGCTACAAGGTTTGAAACTCACCCTTATGTTGCTTATGAATTGTCCGATCTCTCGTTGACATCTAGCAACTTTTCTTCATGGAATTTAGAGGGGTCTTGAAATTACTGAACCTTGAAAACATTATTTATTGTAAAGTTACAACTCAAAATATCATTCCGGATGCCTCACTTAGAGGGGGTACCGGCAGCTGGCTGGCGCAATAAGTCCGCGGTCTACGACGTCCGGACGAGGCAGGGGGGGGGGAAATGACGGGCCATTGGGACGGGAAGAGCACCCCTTCGAAGCCGCATAATAGGGTTTTGCGCCGAATGTGCACTCGCACGTCACCGTAGTTAGCCCACAATGTTGTGAGCTGACCGGTGATTTGAATTTGTGGTTGTTGATTGGTACTTGTTTCCTTTCAGTGATTCCAAGCTTCCATGCAAGTAGATAGTATACTTCAAGATTCCGGCTGTATTATAATATATTAAGCATTTTCGCGTCATACCTTATCGGCGTGTTAGTGGTAACGTGATTGCAAAGGACAGTTTCTATCAAAATGTTTATTACCCGAATAAATCATTCTGATGCATAACCTGACGCGTTCATTAACACCCTGACGATTCGGAAGAGCTGTCCTGTATTGCTGCAGTGTCAGAATTTTTGTGTAATGATTGGGTCTGGCCACGTGAAAAAGTGTCGCCAGAAATGGCTGCTCGCTCTTTCCTTCTATTAATAGCTTTTTCATGCGCTGCCACTTGAGAAGACAGCTCTGGATCTGGGGTTATTTAAAGTAGATCATGAGAATTATATATGATCAAAGATAAGCTAGAATAATATGAGACTCGTCAAATACGAAGATAAAAGTAAGTGAATGAGAAAGCAGAGTAAGTGGAAAACGAGAGCGGTAAGGCACAACTGAAGAAGACAAAGGAAACTGCACCAAGGAGAAAATGAAAAGACAGTTCTAGAAATTAAGGACACAGTTATTGCTTTGTAAACATGAAGGGAAGTGTCGTGTAAAAGGGAAGCGTCGTGTAGAAGAGAAGGCTGGAATAGTGTTGAAGACGATGACGAGTCGAATGACTTCAAAGCTGGACCTCTGCTTGCTTGTGCAGTACATCGTTTCTGCTCTTCACTCCTTTGTAATTCTAGAAAAGGAGCAATTTTCTGCAAAACCAGATCACTGCTAGGAAGAGAATAGGATCGCCGCCAGAAGGGAAGGCGGGAGAACGTTGAGGACGTTGACGAGCCGACTGACATTACGGCAAGACTTCTCCTTTTATGCAGAGAAGGTTATGTGAGGTTAGGTTATGTAGAAAAATATACCGGTGCGGACCACTCCTTAAGAATACTCGAACGCTGGCAGGAGTTCATTAAAACGACAGCGAAAAATCGATACCAGTATGAAAAAAATACAACCCGACACTTTCAATGAGATATAAGGGCAGTACAGCGAAATTGCGGCTCTCAATGAGCGCAGTTGCATAGAGAAAGAAGCCCTACTAAGGCGCAACAAAAGAAGATCCAGAATTCCCATTCCGTAGTCCGGTTGCTTGCAATCGACGCGTCGTCTCGTGTTTGGTATGCGAGAACAGAAACGAATTGCAAAGTATAAAGGAAGACGCGAGGATTTCCTTGGGAGGGGGGAGAGTGGGGGGAACGAGGGAGATTTTGCTGGAGAAGTGAAAAACCACTTTTCCTTCCAGCTCTGGCTGAGAATATGCAATACGTATGCCATCTTCGCGCCTTTTTTGCGGCTGCGTACTTATTTTGTGCCCGCAATTACGCGCCGCTACCGTAGGCCAATCGGGCTCTAACTGTTGTGACTCGCAAATCGCTGGTCGGCGTGTAGGCATCGGTGTTGAGCCAACAAGAAAATCCGGGATTCCGGGAGCCCGATGTATCCCTGAGGGGAGGAAGAGATAGTGTGCGCTGAAGAATGGTCAAGCAGTAGAAGCCTGCTAACACGCGGCTCTGATTGACGAGGGCTTAAACTTCCCCTGGCCCATCCGGTTCCGTATTGATTGGCAGATGCGAGGCGGGACGACTATGTTCCAGAAGACAGGCGACGACGAATAGATCGATAGACCGAAAACTGAATGGCTGCCAGATGGCTGACTGCGACGTGACTACACTAATGAGTACGACTGATAGCGACAGGTTTAGGGATACTGGTTTACTAGTCTAGACTTCATGTAGAACCGAATAATGAGCAAAGGCATATATAAGATATGCATATAGCACGATGGTATAAGCAAGGTGTCGACAGTGATAGAATCCGGGAGTGACATGCGATCGTGGTGGAACGGCGAAGGGCTTCCACCTGGCCCGACCGGCACGACCGGCCACGACGACAGTAGCGATGACAGCTAAGCACTTGACGCGCGCTAGAGCGCAGACGTACGGAGTAAGAGTGAGCTAGACAGTTCATCCTGAGGGCGCGAACTTTGAACAGTGATGAGTAATCAAAAGTGCAGAAACAGGAATATATACAATATAAAGTTAACAAGAATAACAGTAACAGCTTGTATCTACAAGCAACATGTATTCTAACACTTCTACTGCACAAATTACTAGCACTTAGGTTATTAGCTTTTGCGTACTGCAACATATAATAATATGAATAAGTTCATCACTTGTGTCGCGGTTCAGGGGAGAGACCGCCCTACTAGTCCCCCCACGACTAATCGGTGGTTCAGGGGTCTCGCTTACACACCAGTTGACCACCACTGTCTCACGGCTCTCCCGGGGACTATACCGCTTTCCCCGCATGGTATAGCCACCGCCCTCCGGGGAATACCCGCGCCTGAACCCGTGTGTAATATTGCCCACTTTGCCACGCGGTTGATCGTTGAGATTTATTCGAACCTCAAACTTGGGTAATTAAACATAAAAAGAGCTAACCATTTACAACCGAATCATACACTGACTAAAAGAGGCATAACCATTAAACGAACATACACTACGATTCTAGAAACGATGAGGAAATCTCAAGAGCATTTCTATGAAACTACTAAGCAAAGAGCAAAAATAAATGTAAGAGACAAGGAAAAAATGCACCTGATCCTACAATGCACCCAAGCGAATCGAGCGTCGGCGCTTCCTCTTTTATGCGGACTAAGTATGTTTTCCTACGAAAGAATGTATACATTATGCGTTGTTTCCTGAGAAAATCTACCATTTCAATCAGATAAGGAGGAAAAGAATTCAAGCAACTGTAAAGCATGGGAAAACAGTTACATCCTATAAGCGAAAAGATATACATGAAACTAAGAAGCATGACTCATTCTAAGCTATATTTGATCACAGTTGTGATACCGTGGCAGGCACAACCCCGTGATGGGTCCGACCTTCCCCGTTGTCCGTCCTGCCCTATCACTGTTACAGCCTGCCGTATCCGGTCTACATACACCTAGCCCCCAACAGAGATCCAAATCCCCCCTCCCCTCCCCCGAACCTAATCAGCCCTTGACGAGCCCACCTACCCTGTCACTCCCAAGTTCCATTTATTGTCAACAACTACAATATGTAACACTACATATTTATTGACTCACGTACCAGCGAAAACCTTGTCCCAACTAATTTCTCCAAATCCTGCCGTAGCTGGACTGACCATCCATCTTCCAACGTCCAGCGATCCTAGCGGTAAATGGCGCCCTGCGGCTACAAGCTGCAACCCGCAGCCGGCCGTGCCCTCGGGTCTAACAGGCACGGGCCAGAGCCAGAGCTCCGCCAGACGGAGCAGTGTGCCCGACCACACTGCTGTGCAGAGTGCAAGCACCCTGCCAACCGTCCGGCATCATGGCGGCAGAGCGGGTGCCCGGTGGATCCCTCCTCCCGGAGGGAGAGAAGCACACCGACTGGCTGCTGGCAGCCCTTATATAGCTACACTAAGGGGCAAGGCGATGACGCGGCCTGCGGCGGACGCGTCGCGGTTTTGCCCGTGTAGCGCGCTAGAACCCAGGATTCAGACCGACTCCAGTTCACTGTAGTGCCAGCCGCGATTAGTTGCCGGCTAAAACTTCTGGTAAGGCAGCTTCAGCACCGGCCAGAAGCCAGGACCACCATTGGTCTGGCCAGGAACCGGATACAACTTGATCATTTACCTGACTGCCAGGTGGTGTTGGTGTTTTTGTGACTATGATTGACTGGGGTCTGTCGTAACGCAATCTCCTCTTTGCACAGAACAGAATGCTACATAATGCTTGACTTCGCGCTATGGTGTCTTTGTCTGAAGGTACTTTTCAAATTTGAGATTGCCAAAAATGCCAACTGATACGGCCAGGGTACTCCAGCCCAAACGCGCCTGTGTGACAAAGGTTACTGAGTCTGTCGATGATGCGGCTGCCAGTGATAGTTCCGTGATCGGTCCAAACTCTGACGTCGTTTTCAACAGACTTCGCCAACAGTGTGGCTCTGGTTGATCTGAATCCAAACGGTGGAGTGACTTATATCCCCGGCGCAGTACAGCCGAAATCCTCCCAAACAGGGAGGTTGCCTTTCATCTCTCAATTGCACTTTTTTTACGGCATAGTTCATCAACCGCTATGGAAGCACTGCCATGTCAACTTTCCGGATGTCTTGCATGTTCAGCTCAGCAACATCATTCCGTTTCTCTGAATCATGGCTTAGTCTGACGTTATTTCTGTCTGTTGTGGATTTTTTTATCATGATGTGATGAAGTAGCCTCTGACCTGAGGTTTCGAGTGCGCTCCAATTTACCCAGCTTATTCCGGTGGACGCTAGCACCCATGATGTTGACGCCACACGCAAACAGGCTACTGCATCCAATTTCGCCATCTTCGCTTCTGCGTGCTCGCCAGTCATGAGAGACAGTCCTCGATCAATCAAGTTGGTAAATCGTGCGATCCTGTTATTTGGACTGGCTCCGACACATTCCATCTGCTATCGCACACACTATCACTCGACCAGTCAT